TGGGGGGAGCTTTGAACTCGATAACCAAAAGTACCAGGTTGAAATCCCGGGTTCCCTAAAACCTGGAATCGGACGTGTCTGGCGGATGACGACTAATAGGCCTAAAATGTCCATTCCGGCATAATTTCCGTTAAATAGAATAACGTAGGTTTGGTTAAATATTGATTGACATGCAACATAATCGTCAGAATGTTGAGATATGAATACGCGCCTTGATGGCCATCTTTGAAACCGACACTCACTAGTAATGGTAACCCTAGCGGTATGAATTCTTCCCATTGACTTCCAATCCCTTTATAGATCCAGTAGTATTTCCATAAACTATACGGAAAAACTGGCTTGGACCAGATCACGGACAAAGACAAGCTAGAGTAGAACAACAATTTCTGAGTAATTAGATGTCACCAGCCAGCCACACGCAACCCATGAGGCTCCGACCCGCGACTTTATGGTCAGGAGTCCAACGCTTTAACCACGGATTGAAAAACGATACCAGCATCAACAAGTGAATGACATCTGTCCGTCGGAATGGCCTCTTGTTCCTCGTCTTTGCGCACGCCACTGGGTGTGATCGACATTTCAATTGGGAGGCTGGCTCCAAGGTTGATGAGTGTCCGCTATGTCATGATCGACAAACCATGGCCCTCTCTGCCTGGTGTGCGCTGGTAGTTCTCCGGCACCTGTTTCTCTGGCGAGTGGATCAATGGGTTTAAAGTGGAGCACCAAGGTGCGGGTTCGGCCACGCCATCCACCTGTGCTCTCTCCGCCTTTGATCTTCTTGACTCTGTTTTGGCACCGGGTCCAGGTGGCGAGGAGTAGGGGGATGCGGTAGAGGCTGCGCCTGCTTCACCTTGCTGTGGAGCACGCAGTGGACATCGTCGGATCTGGTGGTCGAGCTATCATCGTCATGGCAAACACAAAACAGACTCGGTAATTCCCCGAGATTCGGTACTCTAACACAGGCAGTATTGACCGCTATCTCAACGGGGATGTTCACTATGGTGGCCTGCGTGCACAGCTTACTGACCCTCTGCGTCCTAGTCGCTAATCCACATCCGCTCACCCAGAATATTACTTGTCCGCCACCCACCCTCCAACACGATGAGCCGTGACCGAGCATCTCCTCTTCCCCTGCCTGGTACGGCCGTGACCATGCCTGGTCTAGTCGACTTTGATGAGGTCACGGATTGTCCCTGTCCATGTTTAACAATCTGGAGCAGCAGATCTGGAGAGCCCGATCCACCCTTTCCTCCAACAACAAAGACTGAATATCGAAGGTCAAAGAATAACTTCCACGTCTTGGTGGGGGTTTATCGAGCTAGATTTGGGCTAGACGTCCGTCTGGACGCCTCTGTCTGAACAACAGCGTCGGACCAAGTGCAGCAACTCATAGGCCAGACGACAAGTAACTTGTCCAAACCGTATCATTGACTCGGGCCATATGTTAGTGAAAAGCAGACTGTTTTGTAGCTGTGTCCGTTAATTAAGATCTTTTCAGAACACAGAAGTCCGCTGTGTGCTGCATTCCTCCTGTGACCGTTCCCTTTGCGAAAGCAGATTCGACGCGCAATTCCTCAACTTTAATGGTCCTTGACAGTTTTCCCTGTCAACCCCGCCACCCTGTATAGGGCAGGAGTTTCGTTCATTAAGTCCTGTGGTTGTGCATTCATCGTACTGTTCGAGAACTGCCTTAACAACGAGAGACTGTCGCCGACAGCCATCATGGCCATGTTTGGCGTCCTTGGTCAAGGCGCCCTGGAACGTTAAGGTCATTCGCCCCTTCGCAGCCAGCAGTTCCAGACGCGCCCTTGCACAGCATCTCTCACACTTTCTCCTCATACCCTATCGCGGCAGCCATCAGGGGTATGTCTGATGTTATTGGCGAAACGCCTCGCTTCCTCAAGGTCACTCACCCCTTTGCAGCTGACTGTTCCAGATGTGCTGGCCTGAGGCCACTCGACCCACTGCAACTCGAACGCACGTGCGTCCAGAGATTCGCAGCTGCCCACTCGCCACTAGAACACACTCCCCCCTCCCATCGGCGAAGCAGCACTCGAGCCTCTTCCCCGCGCACCTACAAAAGCAGCTGCTACCAATCTCAGGAACTATCAGGACAGTCGGCTGATTTCTGTCCTTTCCTCTTACTACACGGGGGTTCAGCTTGATGATTGTAGCGCTCTGAGTACACTCTTCGCTTAGCCACTACAGGGCTACGTACGACCTATTACCCTCACGTTCAGTGCTTAAAATGCTTTGGGAGGCAGGACAGTTGACAATAAAATCCGAATAAGTCCCGGCCATTCTACCGAAACTGCCTGACTCTTTGGCTGTGTTTGGGGCAATTTTTTTCCATCTCCGCGTGACCCACCCTGTTTTCCTCTCACCCCTCTCCCCATTTTCTCAGTGGAACAACATGACCGGCAGCGGAGTGAGTCTGCGTTCCTTCCGTGATCTGCCCACCCTATTGCAGTGCCTGACTTGTCGGGCAGCTGCCTTTGGAGTTTTTCGTTTCCTGTGGGTTATATTCCGTTCGAGGCGAGTCGATTTCGAGCTTAATCTGGACACCATGAAGCCCTATTGCATTGTGGTAAATGAACTGTCCACAGTGAACGCCTACTTGAGACCCGCGATCCTAGCCTTCGTTACTGATCTGCTCGGATCCGCTGTCGAGGGTATGGAAGACCTGAGCCAGGTAAGTTTTCGTGCCGTCTACCCTCTGTATTTCTGGGTTGATGTTAGCAGACGTTTTGTTAAATAATTTGGAGCTCTACAGGCGGTCAGTGTGTCATT